TCCTATTTAAATAGCATATAGTCTCGCATGTTTAGCAGATAAATTAAGTGGAGGGAATCAATATTGGTACAAATAAGTGCAAATTGCAACATAAATATGAAAACTTCCTCAAATTAACCTCGCATACAAGTGAACAAAATAAACTCTCTGAATCTTATATAAGACCTTTTCTCTGTAAAGATTCTCGTTAAAGATGTCTTCAAGGGTCCAAGAAAGCACCAAACGAATGAAATTCTCAGGCCATGCCCTCTTCTTGCTTGAAGAACACTCTTCCAGTCTCACTTTTCACCCACTTCTGTATGTTCTACCTACCAACTTTTTCTTCTTCTTGCCTTGTTTAACAGTAGCACTGAAATTCTGAAAGAAAAAAAGCACTTATCAGTCAAAACTGTTGCCAGCATGAAAAATAAGGACACTGGGGTTTCTTTGTAGTGAAAGCAAAATGGCAGAAGCACTCGTAAACCAACTCTTATAAATTTGAATGGACTCTTAGAATGCAAATGCAACAATGATAGAAAACCGAGAAACGGAACCATAGACGATGAATAGGAAAGGTTGGGAAAGAATTTAGTCTTGAAAATGAAGGTGCCTCTTCCATTTCCCAATGCTACTTGACTAGAGCTCTTCAGTCTTCCATTTTGCATTTACACGTTAGCACATGTTTGGCCTGGCTTATATACAATATTAATGTCCATATGTTTCCATGCACGTAAAGATTCACAGGGGGAATTGTTGATTGGTAATAATCAAAAGAGTTTTGATAGGGATACATAATTTGTTATACCTGTTAGAATTTTAGTTGTTCAAAAAAAATAATAATAATAATAATTTTTTTTTGGGCTTAACCATGCGGCCGCATGAGGCCCTCCCATGCACTATAACCATGCGACCGCATGGTCATAGCCCATGCGGTCGCATGGTTATACAAAGTGACTGTTGGGGATTTTTCTTTACGGTTTTTCTTTTGAATTTGGTGCCTTTTCAACATAATTTTGTACCATTTCGTGGGAACCCTTCAAAGCCTATAAATAGGTGTTCCAATTGCAATGAAAAACACTCTTGAGAAAAATTAAGAAATCCCCCACAAAATTATTCTCCCAAATTATCAAATAATCAATCATATATCTATTTTCACTTGTTCTTTGTGAAAGATACATTTTGCTTTTGGTGTTCTTCACACAAAGGCTTGTTTATTCCTACAAACTATTTGCCGGAACTCCTTAAAAGCATTGGAAAGGGGGCAAACAACGTTTGAGGATAGCGTTATCATTTTCATGTTCAAACCTCTAATTATATCTATATTCTTTTCCTCTTTGTTATTACCAATTTTCTTCTCTTCATTGCTTTAAATTTCCAACAAACTCAAACGTTATTTGTGCATTTACTGCAATGGAGTCGGAATCTACTATTGCTACTATCAAAATGATTAATCAAGATCTGGTGTGTTTGGATAGATTCGATGGTGCAAACTTTACAAGATGGCAAGACAAACTCAAGTTTCTTCTAATGTGGTTGAAGATCTTCTACGTGCTTGATTCAAAATTGGAACCCATTCCCGATGCAACTGATAAGGACACCGAAGAAATTCGCATAGGAAACGAGAAGAAGATGAATTGATATGCCGTGGGCACATTCTAAATGCATTGTCCGATCGACTATATGATCTCTATACAAACACTACTTCGGCTAAAGAAATCTGGTATGCATTAGAAAGCAAATACAAAGTCGAAGAAGAAGGTACTAAAAAGTTTTTAATATCTAAATATTTTGATTTTAAAATTTCAGACAATATACCTTTATTGCCTCAAGTACATGAGTTACAAATAATTGTGAACAAATTGAAAATGGTAAAAATTGAACTTCCCGAAACTTTCCAAGTGGGAGCAATTATTGCTAAACTCCCTAGTTCTTGGAGAGGATATAGGAAGAAAATTCTTCACAATTCCAAAGATTTTTCTTTAGAAGACATACAGAAACATCTTCGCATTGAGGAAGAATCAAGGGCAAGAGATAAGATTGAAAATTCTTATGATGGCTCTTCGAAAGCCAATGCCGTGGACAATGTGGACAACTCCAACAAGTTCAAAAAGAAAGGGAAATTTCTTGGTCCTAGAAAGGATCAAGAAAAATTCAAAAACAAAGCCAAAGGACCGTGCTATGTTTGTGGGAAACCGGGACACTATGCTAAAGATTGCAGGCATAGGAAACAACATAAGAAGGAAGGACAAGTGAACTCTGTTGATGAAATTATTGCAACAGTGAGTGAAATCAATGCAATCCAAGGCAAAGTTCCTGGCTGGTGGTACGATACATGCGCTACAATTCATGTATGTTATGATAAGTCTCTCTTCAAAACTTATCATGACATTGAAGATAACCAAGAAATACAAATGAGAAATGAAGGAAGATCAAAGGTGATCGGTAAAGGAAATGTTGAACTCCTTTTCACTTCGGAAAAGAAAATCACTTTGACAAATGTCCTACATGTACCGAAAATGAATAGGAACTTAGCAAGTGGTATACTCTTGGGAAACCCCGGGATTAAATCTGTCTTTGAATTTGAAAAATTTGTATTAACCCATAGTGGGCATTTTGTTGGAAAGGGCTATTCCACCGAAAGAATGGTGAAGCTATGTACTGTTGAGGATAACTCAAATAAAATAAAATTTTTTGCGTATGTTATTGATTCATTTAATTTATGGTATGGTAGATTAGCACATATAGGAGTTAGTACTATGAAAAGAATGATTAAATGTGGATTAATACAATGTGTTATTGATAACTTAAAAAAATGTGAAATATGTGTTAAATAAAAAATGATTAAGAAGCCATTTCATAGCATAGAAAAAACAACAAAATTACTTGAACTTGTTCATTCCGACATTTATGAATTGAATGGAATATTAACTAGAGGCGGTAATAGATATTTTATTACTTTTATTGATGATTGTTCTAGGTATACTTACGTATACTTACTTAAACATAAGGATGAAGCCTTTAGTTCCTTTAAAACTTACAAGAATGAAGTTGAAAATCAATTAGGAAGAAAATTAAAAACTTTAAAAAGTGATAGAGGTGGAGAGTATTTTTCAAATGAATTTAACATATATTGTGAACAAAATGGAATAATACATCAATCTTTTGCACCTAGAACACCAGAACAAAATGGATTAGCAGAAAGAAAGAATAGAACTTATTTGGAAATGATAAATGTTATGTTATTAAATTCTGAATTACCTTTTAACTTATGGGGTGAAGCATTACTTTTTGCTTGTCATATAACAAATAGAATTCCTATGAAAAAAATAAAATTTCCCTATATGAACTTTGGAAAGGTAGAAAACCAAATATTAATTATTTTAAAGTGTGGGGGTGCTTGCATATTATAAAAATATGGATTCAAAGAGAACCAAGTTAGGTTCTAGAGGTATCAAATGTGCCTTTGTAGGATATGCCCTTAATAGCAAAGCCTATAGGTTATTAAATCTCAAATCAAATGTTATAATAGAATCAAGAGATGTGGAATTCTTTGAGAATGTGATGGTAGCTAGGAAATCTGAAAATAATAAGGATATTCCAACCTTTAAAAGCTCACCAAAAGAGACATCCATAAAGGATGTTGACTTTGAACCTCAAAGAAGCAAAAGAACAAGAAAGAAAAAGAACTTAGGATCTAATGAAATAGATTCCCAACTTATTTCCTTTTACTTAGTAGAAGGAGATAGGAAGGATATTGTAAGAACAATTCCTTTTATTCTTCAAGTGGAAAGTGATCCTAAGACTTATAAGAAAGTAATGCAATCTAGAGATTATATATTCTGGAAAGAAGCTATAAATAATGAAATAGATTCTATTATTTCAAATAATACTTGGGAAATAGTTGACCTACCAGCAAGTTCGAAAGCTATTGGTTGTAAATGGGTATTTAGAAAGAAATATAATTCTGATGGATCGCTTAATACTTATAAGGCTAGATTGGTAGCTAAAGGGTATCGTCAAAGGGAATGAATTGATTACTTGGACACATACGCACCCGTGGCACGGATAACCTCAATAAGGATTTTATTTGCACTAGCATCTATTTATGATTTATATGTTCATCAAATGGACGTAAAAACAACATTTTTAAATGGAAATCTCGAAAAGGAGGTTTATATGGAACAACCGGAAGGGTTTGTTCTACCGGGAAATGAACATAAGATGTGCAAATTAATTAAATCTTTATATGGATTAAANACTTCTTCAAATGGGAAGATATCAATTTCTCAAACGAATTTCTGAAATTATCACTAAATACTACCTGAATTTGTCAAAAGATAAATCAAAAGGATAGAATCTTTAATGCCTAAACACAATTGAAAAGCAAGAAATATTTATGAATAAAATCCATAACTAAAAAAAATGAAGTTAGCCAAAAAAAATAAAAAATAAAAATAAAAAATAAAAAAATAAAGAAACCCAATGAGCAAAGTTTGACCAAAATAAGTACATAAAATGTTAAATGAAAAAAGATGGAAATAAAATGATAAATGAAAAAAGATGGTAGATAAATAATCTAAGGTAGATATTTGGATGAAAAATGATGTTCATAACAAAGGTAGCAGAGAGGTAAACAAAAGGGAAATCTAGTCATAGAAAGCATCAATGTAACTATAACATGAGTTTGATCCTTTCATGAATAACAAAATTTACTCAGGTAGCACCGTAGCAGCATAATTACCTTCCATCTTGCATTTTTGAACACTATACTCTCTCCATGCAGTAAATCTTCAAGTTGATCTAGGTCTTTCTTAACATTTATAATGGCTTCAACCAAGTCACCATCTTCATCAGCACTAAAAAAGCATTGACGATCCCTAGAATCACATACTATTGCTCTCCAAACTGAATTACGACTCATTAGTGTTCTTTCGTTTCCCAAGATCCAAAGACAATGCCTGCAGAATATAGAGCCCATAAGAACCATAAACTTCAAACAAGAAATCATCAAGTGAAAACAAAAAACAAACATCTGACCACTTACCGAGCTCTCGTCAAAGCAACATTAGTGTTCTGAGGACTAGAGAAGAATCCAATGGAACCATCATTATTAGATCTTACAGTAGATACAATTATGATATCTTCTTCTCCTCCTTGAAATCCGTCGATGGACTTGACAGTGACACTAACCTTCTCATGGTTTTCAAGCCTGAGCTTATCTTGAATTGCCACAACCTGAGCAGCATAAGGTGATGTTACACCGATGCTAAGTTTCTCCTTCGATTTGTTCCATGCTGCTTATAGTATACAAAACAGATAGTTGTCAATGTGATGGATGCCTAAAACCATGGAACTCAACCACTTTCCACAAAAAAATGTGTATCTAAGAGATTTTTCCAATTGCCTAAACATTGAGTTTTTACCAAAGAAGCTGAAAAGTATGATGAGAGCATTTGCAATAATTGGGTTTATGGCATTCCTAGTGGAGCCATCGCATAATCATACAATCATGCTCAATTCAATGGAATTGATATCTTCTATAATTTTGCATGTGTGGCGATTTCTTTGTTTTCCCCAGAAACATTTAACTTTTCACTTGAACAACTCCTTTAGGAAAAGTATTTTCCGATAATTTTAAGAAAGAGAACATGGAGATTTTATGAAATAGATTCCCTAACAATTTGTGTAATTCATATCTTCATGCTTCCATTATGTTCCTTGCTTGATTTCCAGTAAAAACTACGTAGGGAAAGGGACAAAGACCTTGTACAACGAAACACTTCTTGCATTCCTAAAATTTTAAGGAACAAAAATGATAAGTTGTCTGGGGTGATATTAAGCACACTCAACTTGAACAATTGGTTTATTCACACTTTTACTGTAGTGAAATTATTGAATATATATAGGCAACTGGACACGAAGTAGGTAACCAAGAGATATTTAGTACAAATAGAAAATAATGAAAAAGGGAAGCCATTCTATCAACTTGGCATACCTTGGAAGAGTTTGTGCACTATCCTCACTGTTACAGCAAACTCAACCATATTTCTTCGACTATGGCTAGCAACATCCATTTCTTCTCTTCCTCCAAAAACATTTATGAATGAATAGGGACCATACATAGTCCCCGGTATATAGCTTTCTTTGTAACTTTTACCCTTGACATTGGTTGCATCTAACATTTTGTTGTGGTAGAAATTTTTATTTGGGAAGCAGCTAATTAATGGATGCATTCTATATTGCATATTCAGAAAATGCTTAGGATGACCAAGTGAGCTCAGTCTTCCAAATAAACTTCTTCCAAAGCCAGCTTCANTAAGGTCGATTAAATTATTCGTTTGAAGTCCATTCTAAAATAGAACACAAAAGTAGCAAATGTTTCAGTAAATAATAGAATTGGAAATGGAAATTCCAATAAATCAAACTCTTGATCAGGATATAGAGAACCCTGAGGACAATACTAATGTCCGTATGTTTCCATGCGAGTAAATTTAACCAATAATCACTGAACTTTACACTTGATTACTACTTCCTCACTCATCTTTCACAGATTACTGAATGCTCACTCATCTTTTCATATAATTACTCATTCACCACTCGTCTCTTCAAATAATTGGGCGACTTTTACGGCAAATTTTTGACAACTTCCGACCACAAAGAATGTCGAATTTTGATACCGTTGGAAAGTCCACGATGTCCTCTTCAATTACCACCCAAAATCTCATTATAACTCCAAGGGATTCGATCGAAAAATTGCCTTAAAAGTTGCCCAAAAATTTTGAAAATCTGCCTAGATTTTCAGATTTTTTGGACGACTTTTAAGGCAATTTTTCGGCAACTTTCGACCTTCAAAACTATCGAATTTTGATACCATTGGAAAGCCTACAATGTCTTCTTCAATTACGATCCAAAATTTCCCCATAACTCCAAAGGATTCGGTCGGAATAAACCCACAAAATCAGCATCTTGAAAAGGCGAAAATCTGGACAAAGTTCGGGATGCTGACTTTGTGGGTTTATTCCGACCGAATCCTTTGGAGTTATCGGGAAATTTTGGGTGGTAATTGAAGAGGACATTGTGGGCTTTCCAATGGTATCAAAATTAGATAGTTTTGATGGTCGAAAGTTGCCAAAAAATTGCCTTAAAAGTCGCCCAAAAAATTTGAAAATCTGGGCAGATTTTCAGAATTTTTGGGCGACTTTTAAGGCAATTTTTCCATCGAATCCTTGGAGTTATAATGAGATTTTGGGTGGTAATTGAAGAGGACATCGTGGGCTTTCCAACGGTATCAAAATTCGACATTCTTTGTGGTCGGAAGTTGTTGAAAATTTGTCGTAAAAGTCGCCCAATTATTTGAAGAGACGAGTGGTGAATGAGTAATTATATGAAAAGATGAGTGAGCATTCAGTAATATGTGAAAGATGAGTGAGCAAGTAGTAATCAAGTATAAAGTTCAGTGATTATTGGTTAAATTTACTCGTTTCCATGCACATAAAGATTCACTGGGGGAATTGTTGATTGGTAATAATCGAAAGAGTTTTGCTAGGGATACATAATTTGTTGTACCTGTTAGAATTTTAGTTGTTAAAAAAAAAATTTTGGGCTTAACCATGCGACCGCATGAGGCCCTTCCGAAACTGGGAGGGCCACTTGCACTATAACCATGCGACCGCATGGTTATAGCCCGTGCGGTCGCATGGTTATACAAAGTGATCGTTAGGGATTCGTTTTTTATCGTTTTTCTTTTGAATTTGATGCCTTTTCAACATAATTTTGCACTATTTCGTGGGAACCCTTCAAAGCCTATAAATAGGTGTTCCAATTGCAATGAAAAACACTCTTGAGAAAATTAAGAAATTCACCACAAAATTATTCTCCCAAATTATCACATAATCAATCCTATATTTATTTTCACTTGTTCTTTGTGAAAGATACACTTTGCTTTTGGTGTTCTTCACAAAAAGACTTGTTCAATCATACAATCTATTTGCCGGAACTCCTCAAAAGCATTGGAAAGGGGGCAAATAATGTTTGAGGATAGCGTTATCATTTTCATGTTCAAGCCTCTAATTATATCTATATTTTTTCCTCTTTGTTATTACCAATTTTCTTCTCTTCATTGCTTTAAATTTCCAACAAACTCAAACGTTATTTGTGCATTTACTGCGATGGAGTCGGAATCTACTATTGCTACTATCAAAATGATGAATCAAGATCTGGTGCGTTTGGATAGATTCGATGGTGCAAACTTTACAAGATGGCAAGACAAACTTAAGTTTCTTCTAACGGCGTTGAAGATCTTCTACGTGCTTGATTCAAAATTGGAACACATTCCCGATGCAACTGATAAGGACACCGAAGAAATTCGCATAGAAAGGAAGAAACGAGAAGAAGATGAATTGATATGCCGTGGGCACATTCTAAATGCATTGTCCGATCGACTATATGATCTCTATACAAACACTACTTTGGCTAAAGAAATCTGGTATGCATTAGAAAGAAAATACAAAGCCGATGAAGAAGGTACTAAAAAGTTTTTAATATCTAAATATTTTGATTTTAAAATTTTAGACAATATGCATTTATTGCCTCAAGTACATGAGTTACAAATAATTGTGAACAAATTGAAAGTGGTAAAAATTGAATTTCCCGAAACATTCCAAGTGGGAGCAATCATTGCTAAACTCCCTGGTTCTTGGAGAGGATATAGGAAGAAAATTCTTAACAATTCCAAAGATTTTTCTTTAGAAGACATACAGAAACATCTTCGCATTGAGGAAGAATCAAGGGCAAGATAAGATTGAAAATTCTTATGATGGCTCTTCGAAAGCCAATGCTGTGGACAATGTGGACAACTCCAACAAGTTCAAAAAGAAAGGGAAATTTCTTGGTCCTAGAAAGGATCAAGGAAAATTCAAAAATAAAGCCAAAGGACCGTGCTATGTTTGTGGGAAACCGGGACACTATGCTAAAGATTGCAGGCATAGGAAACAACATAAGAAGGAAGGACAAGTGAACTCTGTTGATGAAATTATTGCAACAGTGAGTGAAATCAATGCAATCCAAGGCAAAGTTCCGGGCTGGTGGTACGATACATGCGCTACAATTCATGTATGTTATGATAAGTCTCTCTTCAAAACTTATCATGACATTGAAGATAACCAAGAAATACAAATGGGAAATGAAGGAAGATCAAAGTGATCGGTAAAGGAAATGTTGAACTCCTTTTCACTTCGGAAAAGAAGATTACTTTGACAAATGTCCTGCATGTACCGGAAATGAATAGGAACTTAGCAAGTGGTGTACTCTTGGAAAAACTTGAGATTAAATCTGTCTTTGAATCTAGAAAACTTGTATTAACCCATAGTGGGCATTTTGTTGGAAAGTGTTATTCCACCGAAGGAATGGTCAAGCTATGTACTGTTGAGGATAACTCAAATAAAATTGAATCTTTTGTGTATGTTATTGATTCATTTAATTTATAGCATGGTAGATTAGCACATATAGAAGTTAGTACTATGAAAAGAATAACTAAATGTGGATTAATACAATGTGATATTGATAACTTATAAAAATGTGAAATATGTGTTAAATCAAAAATGATTAAGAAGCCATTTCATAGCATAGAAAAAACAACAAAATTACTTGAACTTGTTCATTCCGACATTTGTGAATTGAATGAAATATTAACTAGAGGCGGTAATAGATATTTTATTACTTTTATTGATGATTGTTCTAGGTATACTTACGTATACTTACTTAAACATAAGGATGAAGCCTTTAGTGCCTTTAAAACTTACAAGAATGAAGTTGAAAATCAATTAGGAAGAAAATTAAAACTTTAAGAAGTGATAGAGGTGGAGAGTATTTTTCAAATGAATTTAACATATTTTGTAAACAAAATGGAATAATACATCAATCTTCTGCACCTAAAACACCGAAACAAAATGGATTAGCAGAAAAAAAGAATAGAACTTATTTGGAAATGATAAATGTTATGTTATTAAATTCTGAATTATCTTTTAACTTATGGGATGAAGCATTACTTTGTGCTTGTCATATAACAAATGGAATTCCTATGAAAAAGAATAAAATTTCCCCATATGAACTTTGGAAGGTAGAAAACCAAATATTAAGTATTTTAAAGTGTGGGGGTGCCTTGCGTATTATAAAAATATGGATCCAAAGAGAACCAAGTTAGGTCCTAGAGGTATCAAGTGTGCCTTTGTAGGATATGCCCTTAATAGCAAAGTCTATAGGTTATTAAATCTCGAATCAAATGTTATAATAGAATCAAGAGATGTGAAATTCTTTGAGAATGTGATGGTAGCTAGGAAATCTGAAAATAATAAGGGTATTCCAACCTTTAAAAGCTCACCAAAAGAGACATCCATAAAGGATGTTGACTTTGAACCTCGAAGAAGTAAAAGAACAAGAAAGGAAAAGAACTTAGGATCTAATGAAATAGATTCCCAACTTATTTCCTTTTACTTAGTAGAAGAAGATAGGAATGATGTTGTAAGAACAATTCCTTTTATTCTTCAAGTGAAAAGTGGTCCTAAGACTTATAAGGAAGCAATGCAATCTAGAGATTATATATTCAGGAAAGAAGCTATAAATAATGAAATGGATTCTATTATTTCAAATAACACTTGGAAAATAGTTGACCAACCAACAGGTTCGAAAGCTATTGGTTGTAAATGGGTATTTAGAAAGAAATATAATTATGAGGATCGCTTAATACTTATAAGGCTAGATTGGTAACTAAAGGGTACCGTCAAAGGGAAGTAATTGATTACTTTGACACATATGCACTCGTGACAAGGATAACCTTAATAAGGATTTTATTTGCACTAGCATCTATATATGATTTATATGTACATCAAATGGACGTAAAAACGACATTTTTAAATGGAGATCTCGAAGAGGAGGTCTATATAGAACAACCGGAAGGGTTTGTTCTACCGGGAAATAAACATAAGTTGTGCAAATTAATTAAATCTTTACATGGATTAAAGCAATCTCCCAAAAAGTGGCATGAGAAATTTGACTCTAAAATAATGTCAAATGGATTTAATCACAATTCAGTAGATAAATGTCTCTACACAAAAGTGAATGGTGATATAATCACATTAGTGTGTCTATATGTTGATGATATGCTAATCATTAATAACAATATAGACGGAATCAAAGAAACAAAACGATTTCTATCCTCTACTTTCAAAATGAAAGATCTTGGAGAAATAGATACTATCCTTGGAATTAAAGTAAAGAAGGATAGTGGGGGTTTTACATTAAATCAATCACAT